GTAAAAAGAATTGGGCGGCTATTTGCCGACACTCGACCGCAAAGGGTTAAAAAGAAAAAAAACTGCAGAGAGGAGAACGTTTATAGTTACTTGTAAGATAGCCCCGTCTATTCCAACTTTGTGAGAATGAGTGATCCGAGTCACTTTCCGAACTGTATCTAAAAGTTTGTCGTAGCTGTCGTAAGAAAACAATGCGACAGGCGGGACTCTCATCGCACCGCCGTTTCCCCACGAGCCTCGTCCGTTAAATTGTTCCTCGGGTGGACTCGAAACGTCTGTAAATTTGTTGCCTCGTAATTTTTGAAATACCTTCGAAAAGAACGTTCGGGTCAATCTTTACGTCAAAATTCCAAATTACAAAATTACAACAGTTGGCTCAACGTCGTACCGTTGCGACACCCATACCGTAGCCTCGATCGGGTTCTCGGTAGTAACGTTTGACAAATTTCTTCGCAACATCCACGACGTCTAATTCCTTCCGATCAACCAGAGATTTGGCCAACGAGTGCGTCATAGCAGAATCGTCCGTAAACCGCACGACGGGTGCTACGGAATCAAAAAAGAAAAAAAAGTTATCCACACGAAAATCACCGAGTAAGATACGATTATTTCCATCGTCTGAAATCGTTTCTCACCTTTGAACGGTGGACCCTCCAACTTGTCAAACGATTTTTGCAAAACTAATTTCACGCCGCTCGTCAGTCGATCGCCGTCGTCGTAAGGACTACCAGTGCAATCGCCGATCAAAGCACCGAGCATCGAACCACGAAATTTGCTTTTCAACAACGACAAATCCATCTTTGCCACGATCTTTTCTCGTCCCAAATTCTTGGACCAAACGTGGAAGTTTACTCCGAACGCAGAAGAACCGGACAGGACCGTTCGAATTTATATCGGAGCAACCGTGGCATCAAGAATATTTTTAGCTGGACGAACAACGACGAGAAAAAGATACGCGCAAACGTCAACGACGTATATATCGATCAATTCGTGGACGTTTGTAACGCTAACATTGCTTAAATTGCAGATTTAAAACGGTAGCGTTCACTTGGAACGGCGAACGATGCAAGATATCGAACACGAAGATTTCGAGACACTACCTTGCCAGAAACGTCGTCGAAACACGAAAGATCCGAGATTCGTCGAAATTCCGAAACCGCGTTATCTCGGATTCGTCGATTCGGATATCTTCGTATTAATCGATCGTTCGAGAAATTCGTCCGCAATGTTTTCAACCATCGATACGATACGCTCTCGCACTCTCGTTTCTATCAAATTTCGTTCTTTGAATTTCGCTCGAATCTCTGCTTCAAATTCGAACTTTGCAAGCAATTTGACACGTCGAACGAAACAAAGTTGTCAGAGATTCTCACTGTCGCGAAAATTTTTGAGAAATCTCAATGGAAATTGCAACGTTTCGAACGACACGCGTCGTCAGGTTATCGCGAGATAACCTAAAAACGTAAACGCGCGGCCGACCGGCTGACAAGCATGGCACGGAGTATCGGAAACTGCAAACGCGAGCGAGGTTAAGGTACGCAATCGTAAACGAGACAGTTACGTACGCTACAATTCATTCGCTGTTTACACGCAACGAGTAACCTCACAATCAACACGACACTCCACATACCAGCCACGTAAAACTAATATCTTTCAATCGTAATACGAACTCGCAACGTACGATCGAACGCGTAGACGCGTACATTTTCACGAGAGACGAACGCAGATGAATGCATCGTTCGACGCATATGAAATTTTAATCACGTACCATCGACAATCGAGTCGAGTTACAAAGTCGAGTCAAGCGTAGGATCTTAAAAGTATCGGCACAGCACGTAACGCGTCGAACGGTAATCAACGTCTCGAAGTTTTCGCGAGCTGGTGCACGCGTGTATCGCACTCGATATCGTCACGGTGGTTCTCAGCACATCAGCCGTAAAAAGGCGTAATTTCAAATGTTTTTAGATCGATGCACTGAACGCGCAACGTCAACGGGGAGAAGCATGGAACAACAAGAAGGACGTTGATATTTTTGCAACGCAATAAAACAAGTTTGTCGCTTTTATCTTTAATCGTATACTTTTCGATCGTACATCGAGAAACTACCGAAAGGTCGTCGTTCGAGAGTATCGATCCGGTAATGGATAGAAACGTTAAACAGGGTACAGCACAAGTAGAAGGACCGCCGAATTAGAAAGTTATTCAGCCTCGACGACGCCGCAAGCCCAACGATCTCCCGAGTTTCCAGTGGTCGCAGAGAGAGTACTATTCCCTTTTCCTAAGTCGTCTTGGCCGGAATGAACGACAATCGCACGTCCCAGGATATTGTTCTTTCCAGCAAAGGAAATGACAAAATCTTTGACGTCAACGTCAGCCTCTCCGTTTTCGTTTGCTCTTATGTTACCTAAATCGCCAACGTGTCTCACCGAGCTGTGTTGTCCACCGTGGGAAACCTAAAAACAAAACTCAAAGATCGATCGGACAGATCCCAGAACGTGGCGATAAGAAGGCGGAAATAAATTATGCAATAGTTAAACAATAACGATAATTTACATTTTCAGGATTGAAATGCGGACCGGTAGACGCGCAACCGTCTCGTAGATCTCCTTTCTCGTGTACGTGAAAACCGTGTAATCCTTGCGTGAGTCCGTGTATCTTTCCCGTGATTCGAACGGAGTCATCCTCGTTTCGAACCAAGTAGAGTTCTCCCGTTACGTTTCTCGTTCGAACGTTGTTCGGTAGCAAATGGACACGCGCAGTTTTTTGCTGTAGAATGTGAATTTCGTTGAACATGGAACGATCGTAATAACACGCGATTCATCGCGAGACGAACGTAAATTAAGATAATTTTCCTCGATATTTTCGCAAAGCGACGTACCTCCGCAATGGTTGCAACTACAATTGCGAGAAGAATTCCGACGATCATCGCTGGATTCACGACGAACGATCTGAAATAGAAATCGAGTGGTTACGACGTCGTGCGACGTAATTGTCACGCCGGTCCGAGATTCGACAGGTTTTTAGAATTTTAAAAGTTGCGGTCTCGACGTTCGGTTCTCGTTTAAGATTTAGATTCGTCATCGACTATCTCGTCACTCGCGTGACTCGTCATGTTGCGTTACAGTGGTAACGCGTGCAAGTGGCAACGAATAAACGAGTCGAGCGAACAGTTTTCGAGAAATACGTACCTGTGATTTTGGATAGCTCGTTGTCGGCCAATGTTATACATACCGTCCAGTTAATTCAACGTCGACGCGAAAAATGTAAGAGGAAAATTACTCGACGCTACAGTTGGACGCAGTTGGAGGGAAATAGTCGGGACGGTGTGGGACGAGAGACGGTACCGAGCGGACGTAACACAGACGCGTACGCGGTAAGAGAAGAACGAGTCTGGACTGTGGACGGACAAAGGCGTAGAAAGGGAAAGGAACGTGGCGTGGACGTGCGTAGCCGTTGGGAAGGCTACGGGCGTAGTCTTAGTTACGTAATGGGAATAAGAATAAGAAGGAGTAGGTTATTGGCGGTGATATTTGTACGAGTTTGAGTTTATTGGTACAAGTTTTAGCGTGCAAGTTGATGTTTTTTCGTTTTGATGTAATTGGTCGTATTTGTAGCGTGGACGATTTGGAGTTTGTAAATTGTACGGGGAAATTGTAGTTGGAGTGGGACGTATAGGCGAATAATTTCTCGTTGTTGGTGGTATCGGTGGTAACGAGTGTTTTTTTGGTCGTAAAATTGGAGTTTGTTGTAAAATTTGCGCGAGAAAGGCGAAACGTCGTGGAGGAGGATTTTTTTACGTAAATATGGTTGCGTGTATTATTTCTTGTATGGGAGGTGACGAGTGTTTTTAGCGTGGACAATTTGGAGTTTGTTAGTTACAGGTTGAATATTTTTTGCAATTGGTGGTTGTATCAGTGGTAATAAATGTATTTTTTGCGACAAATGTGCATTGGTTTGTTTATTTACGTGTATGTTTTTCTTTCGGTCACGTTGGGGTTGTTACAATTAATATTATTTGTAATTAAAATTTATTTTATTTTGTCATACGTCGCTGTATCAGTGGTAATAAATGTTTTTTCGTTGT